AAAAAAAAAGAAAAACCGAAAAAAAAACAAACCCGAAACTCACAAAAAATAAACTTTTTAAATTTAAATTTAAATTTAAATTTCCGCTAGTTTTTAATTTATCATCCGCATATCAATATATATCGGACTTTAACTCGTCAGATTTTATAGTTACACAGAATCGCGCTTTATTACTATAACGACCCCTGTGGGGTCGATTTTTCTTTAAGTTTCTATTTTGATTTTCTTCCGTTGCTTAGAAACTCATAATAAGCAGTATAGAGAGCGGGTATGATTGGTGGAAACGGTGCACTGGACTCTATGTATACATTTCTGGGCGATGTTTTCGATAATTGATTAGAAATACAAAACATTATAACCACAATAATCACATGTATACTGTATACAGTATATGAGGTCAACGTACCTCTCGTAAAGTCCAAATGGATTCAGGTTTGGTATGGTCGAGTTAGCATAAACATGAGTCTCATTCGGATTCCAAAAGTAGAAGCCAAAAAGGCTTGATCCAGACACATAGGCGACTTCTGTTAGGTCACTTTCTCCTGGACACTTTCTATTCACATATCCGTTCAAAATCCAAGTCCACGTAAACTGATATTCACAATGTGTCAAGTTTTGAGGATCCAAAGGATTAAGTCGATCGGTGACTGAAAATTTTATGGTAATTGGTGGGCCCCAAGCAATGTAAAACCACGAAGTATAAGATGCAATTGCTGTTACTACCCTGTAAGAACTACCATCAGCGGTGTATCGATCTTCTTGCACTTCGTAGTAGCCTGGAGTTAATATTCGCAATGAACGAGAGATTTCAAGTGCAAGTTCAAATGTTGAGTCGTTTGAGGTTGAGGAAGTGTTTGAAATGTTAATGGCGGATGTACTGTTATTAGTGTATAATTTTTTTGTTCCAGGAATACTAGTGAGTGTGTAGTCATATCGATAGTTAACTGCATAGTAGTATCGGTGACCAAGCGTGTACTGATACGGAATCAAAGATATATCATTCTCGGAAACTAAATCAGTCATGCTCAGAAAATAAATTAACAATACTATTGCTACTATCAATATTATTATAACTAAAGAACATAAGAGAAAACAGCGCCAATCAAATGCTGACGATGATCCCCATAAATCATCATTGCTTAACACTGAGAGAGGGTCGTTCTCATCATGTGTAGTGGAAGGATCTTGGGAGAGTTCGATACTTGTGTGCGACATTAAGATTGTAAGATGTTAAAAAAATTAATTATTTTTTAAAACATAGTGTTCGTATGAAATAATGGAGTTCCTCTTTGAACAGTAACAAAGAACCATTATATATCGTGGCTTTTACAATAATTTTGAGTATTCCGTCATGGCGCGGCTTATGCTTTTCGTGGCTTTAAATCCTTACGGTGAATTAGAAAGTAGAAGTTAAGTTATACACATGCAATTCAACCTGCGCCTCAATGTAGAACTGTTTTCACACATATTGTAAATTTTTTTTTAAAGAGCAATCCAATTTCACGTGACAAAGATCTTATAGCTAATTTCATAGTGTTATTAATCGCAACACAAGGAGGAATATTTTGAATAATCAGGGATAAATCAAAGTTCTATACTCTTGAGAAAATTTATTGCCAACGACACAATCAATCTTAATAAAATCAACGTTTAATCAACGGAACGTTCATTCTTACCTATTAACTCGCCTCTTCCCAATATTAACACGTGAATATGAGTGATTGCAAAAAAAGTTGTAACCTGCTTTAAACTAAGCATTCACGGGAGTACGGAATATATAAAGGCAACTTGTTGATTAAAAGTTGATGATTCATTATTAAACCGTACGGTACAGTACGTTAAGTATACGGTAGGAATAACAATTTTTAGCAAATAGGCTTACTATATATTTTTGCGGGAAAATAAATGAATTATTTCTTAATATGATTTTTCTAGCGTTCTTAATAATGCAACATTCAATGAAAAACACATGATAAAGGTTTTTTTTAACTGAATATTCTAAATGCATCCTTAATGATATTTTCTCAATTAAATTACCGTTATTCGTTATACTGTATATTAACATAACAAAGATAATATATAAGATAATTAAACAATTGATAAATAATCTATATACAGTATAAAAAAATAAATCGAAAGCATATACTGTAAATTTATATGGATCGGTTTACATACATTATAAAAATCATCATCTTTATCTTTACAGCATATCGATAATATAGAATTCGAAAATAAAATTAAATATAGATTTTAACGAAAATATCGATGATCACTTAATACAAATAAATAAATAGTTTTATTAATTTAATTTATTTAATTTATTTCAACCATATTTTTTTATAAAAAAAATTATTTTTATTTTAGGTATAATATTACAAGAACAAGAATGATAGAAAATATCAATACGATATTTTATTTGATTAATTTTTTATTTTTTATAAATTAGTTATACGTCGCATTGAGAATAAATTCAATTTCGTACATTGAATTAAAGAGCCCTTTTATAATGTTAAAATATATTTTTTTTTTTGTTTTTTTTATAAAAATAAAAATAATAAAATAGTAATGTATATGTGTATATACTGTACATATCATTTATTTATAAATTTATGATTGAATTATTTTATTTTATTCACTCATTTATTCATAATCTTGTTAACAATCCCCCCACCCCCTTATCTTTTTTTTTTTGAATTTCGCAAAACCATCAAAGTATTTTTTTAATGTAAATTTATACGATATTATGTTCGTTCTTATTTTTTTTTATTTATATTAATACATTTTCTAATATGAAAAAATAACATTTCTGCAAAGCCAAACTCATTAAACAGGTCGTTATGTATTTTGCTTTCATACGATAAATATTATTATACGCAACGCATGTGATATTTATTAACATTTGGGAATGGCGAATTGAGGTTTGCATATAATGACATTTGAATCATTGTGCTGTACGTGAATGAAAGGAATGGAGAAATTTCGTTACACGAATATGTAAGTTCCGCGCAGCGGATGCTGTACATGGGGTCTTTTTGTGATGCATGCTATACTCTAGGGAAAATGCGAATTGCCTTTTTTTTAAAAAAAAAAATTTTTTTTGAAATATTAAAAAGAGAAAATTTTCTTTTACGTTATGAAGGGGATGATGTACAATAAATAGGGTTATCTTAAATTTGATTTTGCCGGGATACGCATAAATGGGAAATATCGAAATGCCAATTTTTTTTTCCCCCACGTCACAAGGGGTACACGAATATCAATACGAAAGATTATACCAATTTACCTTTTACGTTTGCAAAAGGTGCGAAAATGGGAATGTTATAGTTTTTTTTTTCTTTCACGTTATAAAGAAAGGGAATTAAAAAAATAATAATAATAATAAACAAAAGTCAATCTTGTCTATGTATTTTCTTTTGTTTCACGGAATGCCAAAGGAACTGCTGTATTAACACGATATCGATGGTGGCCATGGTAATATTCAAGGTGCTGGTATTAAAATGGACGTAGTGTCAAAAGTCTTCAAATCTTTTGGAATCTTCTTTTGGGAATAATTGCCTCTAAACGTTCGGCACACGTTCTGTATTCGTTTTTGACATGCTGCGGAGCCCTTTTCCATAGTTTGGTTGAGGAATATCCTATCACATTAGGGTTAGATTCGTTCAAGATATTCATCGCCTCTTCATTGACCACTACTTTGAATATATTATAAGCGCACACTTTTAAATCGCTTCGAGACGACCTCCCATTCTCGAGGTTCAAGATATTGGCGAAATGAGCTACATCTAAATTACGGGTGAACACGTTTACTTGGATTATGGGGTTTTCAACTACTGCAACAATAGCACGAGAAATTATTGATCTATCGCCCATATTTCTTGATCTTGAATACCAAGCGAGATTTATTCTCACTGACTACAGATAGGGTTTTTATGCTGGTTTTTATTACAGGTACAACATAATCGCAACAATTATGATTTTCAAACGCGTTCAAAAATCATTTAACATCACAAACAATTGGCACCAATGACACTCGCATGGAGAAAACCATGAGGATTTTTTTTCTTCCAAGAGTAGTAAAGCGCGTATTTACGATTGGTCAAGAGGGTAAACAATATTAACCGTACCATTAGAATCAGGATAGAAACCTATCATGATGCAAATATACGACATGTATTGTCCCTTGGATATTACATTTACCTATCTATTCATCTATATGCAGCATATACCACACTCCTAGAGTTTTTTGCGAGATGTTCTTATGTTTCTCCGTGTAATAATTCTTATCGATGGAATTTATTCCCCTTGTATAGAAAGAGCATTCCCAAAGCGGGAAACAGCGTTCTTTATCCACTATATTTTTTACCGTTACAGCCAGACTGTTGATTGTATTTTTTCCATAAATGGGTTAGGCTAAACCTTTTATCTCAAACAGGAAGCAAAACGAACATGTGTTTTCTACTTTTTCGAATGTTAGTTACATCAAACTGCAATTTTTTTCTTTAGGACATTTCTAATCATTTGAACCTGGTTTCATGATAAAAATACGCACGCACGCATTCATATTTATGGGTGTTAATTATACTTATGGGTTCTAATTTTACAAATCGTCGCATATTTTCAGCGTTTCAATCAATACCTCGCGCATTTTGGAAGAGTCTATTCCTGTAATACATGCATATGCAGGGTAACACATCCCCACAATAGTAGTGGAAAAAATATGTATTGGTAATGTACATGTGATGAATATGAGCAATCAACTTTAAAATCACCTGCATACAGTATAAAGAAACCCACAATGTTTCTACATAACGTACAAGGTTATGGGCTGTAATATCGCGCAATTATGTCAAATTAGTAAAATCTCCCGAGTTATTCTATATACATGAATTCTTGATTTTAAAGTTTATATCATTTTCTTTTAATACATGTTTGTCGAGAATAAATTTCATCTAATTCAATTGATTTTATTTCTTAATTTTTTTATTTCCGAATTCTTTCCTTACGCTTATATGTTTTTGCATCTCGTACTTGATCGTACTCGATTCGTAAGAATGATTATGTAAAATTTGATCACTTCAAACATTGATGACGATGATACTAATTTAACACATTAATGTGCGATTTAATTTTCAAATTTCCTTTTACTCTATTTAGTCATCTATAAGGTTTAATTTAATTGACTTTTGGACTCTATTTTTTTGTAGGGGCAATATCAATGAATGTTAATCTACTTATGATCGCTTTACATTCTACATTTTGTCATTATTTTGATGTTGCTGTTGTAACACCCGTCACCAGGATTTCCGATTGGAGAATGGATCTTCAATTAACCGGGTCTTTCGAGTCTCTGGGGGCACAGACCTTTGTGATTCCTTATTAAAGATCATGAGAAATCCATTTATTCTTTTTTTCTCCTTTTTCCGTCTTATTTCTTCTTTATCGGTTATCATACGAATGACAAAGGCTGGTCACACTTTCGGGAATAGATAAATTCCGAAGTGCATCTGGTAATTCTATCAACTGGGCAACCATTCCCATCTCAACGTGCCATTCGACGTGACAATGAAATAGCCAAACGCCTGGGTTATTAGCGTAATACCTAATTACTGTCAAGCTGCAAAAGTTGGTGGTTCGATGTTATATTCCGTGTGTGCACAACATTACCATTCCTTTTAGAAAGCACGTGCCACCTACCTAAGCTCCTTAATGGTTAATGTGTCACGGAGAACAGGATTGTCATAATCATACTCTAGAGAACTGAGTGATTGATTATAGCTACCCACCACACCTTGGGCGACGATCCAGAATGTGTGCCCGTGCTATCATGACATTTAATAGAGTATCTCATTAGCGATAAGACGTGATACAGTAATCAGAAGTGACATGATAAACCCACCAAATGAAAGGGGTGAGTTCGATTTTCGGTATTATTCACAAGAATCTCAATAGGTTCGTTATAAATGTTATAGGTATATGCGTTGTCGGAGGTTGAAAATCGGTAATTATCAATGACCTTTTGATTTGACGGATAGGTAAAAGACGGATGGTACGTAGAATTATTGATTGCTGCGCCTGCTATGTAGTCATCGCCTATCCGCAGAAATCGGAAAGAGATCTCTAGGTTGATGCGTGTGACATTCGTATGTTGTGGCACCGCTGGACTCAGTGGGTTCAGGGGTTTCAAGATCAAAGGGTCGAGATCGTAGCAATCAGATGTGTTGGCAGGATATGCCTCAGAAGTGGGATTTGTAATAGGCGCACCATCGTAGCGAAGAATACCGGTGATATGAGTGTTCGTAAGTAAGGGTGTGTCATAGTTAATCGTTAGATTATCCCTTGGTAGACTACAATGTGAAAGATTCGCTCGGATCCAATAATTTCCAACAGATTGGTTGGCCACAACTAACACAGAGTATCTTTGGGCAATATTGATTGGAAGCGAGTCAACCGTGATTGGTTCGATTGCCGTTCCCTCGACTTCGATGACAGTGAGTGGGTGTTGATCAATGGAAATTCGGAAGTGTGACATCGCACTCATGTTAATTATTCTGAATCTATATCTTTTTCCACTTTGTACATTATATGTGGCGAATTCGCTGGGATCACACGTCGGAATGGTACAATTGTAATGTCCGACTCCGCTAATTTCACCGGAATCAGGTAGAGGGTCGACTCCGAAATAATTTTCTTCAATTTGAGAATGAATCTCGGTTATAACAATTAAACAAGCAAAAAAAAAAGAACGAGAATACCACAGACTACGTACTGCTACGAAACAATGGTAGCATGCCTGGACTGCCCGTCGGATTGTGATACCAATCGGAAACTGTCATCACATATTCTAAATCGAATTTGTTCTTGTGAGGATCGTTTGGATCATGAATAACGATTGGTCCCTTCGCGAATAGAAAATGGCGTTGAATCTCTCAAGTTTGCTGACTCGAAAGAATCAAATTCACATTGCTTTACCTTTAAGCCGTCAACGTATTGGGAAAAAAAATGTGAATGATACCAGTAGGTCCCGGACTGTGTGAGGTTAAGCACGTATGAAAAATTGACCCCGTTTGGAATAGGACATTGAGTGGCTCCAGTAGCTCCATCATACCAATTATTGTTTCTTTGTTCAAGGCCGTGCCAATGAACTTGGGTTGGAAAGGAAAATTTGGATTAGTGGTTTGAATGTTGGTCACACGACAAGTAATTTTGGTGACTTACTTGAGGATGGATCGCCAAGCATGTTGATGACAGTGATGTTAAGTACATCACCAACATTTGCACGAATCAGGGGACCAGGATATCTTCAAATTAAGTGTCGTGAGGATGGATGTGATGTGATACAGGTATAATATGTTGATACTCACTGTCCATTCACTGACCATACTTGACGAGCAAATTTGTCAGGAGAAAGAAGAACCTTTCTTAGTTTTAATGTGTAATTACGAATCACATTTTTGGAGCTTATGGGTAACGACACAAAAGAATCAAAGAGGCTATTTTCGACAGGATCTCCGAGCGCACCTTTTGATAAATGCGTCGCCGAGACCAAAAGGATGAGATCGAAGAAGGCAAATATTGATTTAAATTTCATCCTTGACTGATGATGAAGTTTTTAGTTAAAGAAATGACTAGATTCACGTCTTTTATATCATCTTGCATAGGGGTTCATCAATTACACAATGGATTAATAAATGTCAATACGCCTTTTACAACTTTATCAATCATCCCACTGTGTGGATTGTCAACAAACACGTAATCTTGATCAGTAAATCTTCATTAACATTATACAGTATGTAAAAATACCGACAGATAGTACATGTTTTTTTAATCAATTATTCGAAAAACACTTGTAGATAGCTAGAAAGCAGGCATTAATACAAAATGTTAGATATCTAAAATTTTCATCGTGCCTTGTAAGCTACGTAAAAACGCCATCAAATGAATTTTGAATTCTAAAAACTTTTTTTTTTCCTTTTCATTTTTAGTTATCAATTATAATATCATTCGATCTTTAAGAATATTAGTTCTTAGTATAGGATCAGGAGTTGCCACCTTGAATCATTTCACAATTTAAAATGAAAAATTAAAATTTCACTTAAATATAATTAAAGGCACTTACAGACATCAGTAATGATGATGTCTGATCTTTTCTTTATTAACTATCTTATATTGACCTGGTTGCCATAATAAAAATCGTGCACCCTCGTATTTACTACCACGATATTGAATTGAATATAGTAATTCCATTTTGATAACGGAAAATTTAATAATAGCAACATTAATAATAGTAATATTAACTAGCGCATTAGCCCGGGCTATGCTCCAGGATTAAAAATGCTAGTGTATTTTATATATTAAAATATATAAAAAATAATTTATAATATTGTATTGATAGAAAGCAAGTTTTTTTTATACAAATAAATATAATAATTTATAAAGTAATAGTATTAGCTGTATTAAATTAATTTTTTTTTTAAACCATATTCAACTTTATTTATGAAATAGAACATATGTTTTACATAGAGCTAAATACATAGAAATAAAAGCTGTATTAAATTAATTAAAAAATTTAATATTAAAATAATTTATTTATTTATTTCAATAAAATTAATATTTTAATTTAAAAAACAAAACTCTTTAAAAATTTAAAACCTAAAAAAATATTTAAATTATTTTATAAAAATAAAAAACAGATATAAATTGTTTTTAAAATAATAAAAAAAAAATTGAAAATGTTTAAATTTTATTTAAATGTTATAAAATAAATTTCAAAATTCAAATTTTTTAAATCTTGAAAAAAAAAATTTCTAAAAAAAATCAAGTTTTTTTAAAAAAAATTTATTTGGAATTTTTAAATTTATTTATTTTATTAATTTTTAATATTAACATATATGTTTTAATTTAATAAAATCAAATTTTTTTAATTTTTTTAAAATTTTTTATTAATATAACATAACAAATTATTACAAATTATTTTATTATTATAATATAAAAAATTATTTAAATAAAATACTATAAATTTAATTATTTGTAAAATATTTCTCTATATATAATGTTTTTGATATATATTCCTTTTCTTTTATTAACATGTTCATTTTTAACCAAAATTTTAATATTATCTTTTAATTGATCTCTAAAAAAAACCATATATAATTGTTTATGAGTAAAAACAGGCTTGGGTAAATATAATCCCATATTTGTAATTGTTTGATCTTGAGCTTTGTTTATAGTTATTACAAAAGATAATTTAATTAGAAATTGTCTTCTTATTAATTGAAATAAAAGATCAGTATTTGTTTATATTAATCTTGCTTAAGGTATAAAGACTCTTTTTTCTTGATTAATTTCTGTTAATATTTCTGCATCCACCTCTTATTATATCTTTCCTATTCACACTATATAATATTATGTAGTTGTAATAGGGCTTTAGTTAATACTTGGATCTAATTGTTAAAGTCTGATAAGAAAAAGATATTGCTAGTAATACTTCATGCTAATTTTATAATCTGTCATATATGAGTTATTGGTTTTGAATCACCATTGCAATGAAAAATAAGATTAATTTGTTTGATAATTTAATTAGATTTTTTTGATATTATTGAATATTTAAATATGTGTTATATATTTTCAGTATGAAGTTTGTATTGTGGACAGTAATAATCTAAATATTGGTATGAATACTGTTGATAAAAATTTTTTCATTTAGGAAGAGTTCTTGATAAAAGCTTAATACAAAAGATAATTAAATTACTGTATTTGTTGTTTTGTATATTCTTTAAAGTTTTATTAGATTTGTTAATAATTTTAATATCATGAAAATTATGGATAGAATTAAATATTTTTAATATTGATAAACTTATATATTGTTAGCAAGAAAAAAGATATGTGTCGCTGGAATTGATATTTGTCACATGACATGGTGTGATCTATCGGACTCAACATCAAGAAGCCTAAATAGTCTAATTGGAAATTTGCAAGATATGACAGTAGATCAGTGTACATATCACAGCAAAACTAAATAGGAAGGATTTAGCTAGTTAAAATAAGAAGTTAATATTCACATTGTATAAACTTGTAATACTTGCAATTGCACCACTATAATTAATAAACTTATTTTAATTAGTTATTAGCTGCTGTAGAAATTCTAAAAACCTATAAAGGATTCTGGTAGAGGATCAGACCAGTAATAAAAAAGAAGTGAGTTTATTAACAAGTGCCTCAGGTTAGCAAGCGACACAAGCTCCTACTTACCTATCGTTATGCAATGACCTAGTCCAGATTAGCGACAAACTTGCTGTGTACCGATAATATTTGGTGGAGAACAGAAGTAGATCCAATTAGAAACAATGTTCATTACCCCTGATAAAATTGTGCAAACAAAAGTTACGCCAATTTTAGAAAACAGTTCGCATTAATTAAATCCTAATTTAAAAATACATTATTTACCAAAACAAGACTTTATCTCCTTTACACCTGTGCAAAACCTGTGACAAATTGTGATAGTCAATTGATAATCAACAATGTATAACACAGAATATGACACAATGGATAATGAAGTTAGTCTGCAAATTTTTTCATAATTAGATGCTCCAAGAAGACTGGTGGACATACGTATAAGCTAGAAACGGGAAGTCAAGTTAAAAAAGAATGGAGGAAAGAAAGCAAAGCAAAGAAGGCTGTGCAAATTTAAAGGCAAAGTAGGAGAAAATCCGCAGTTGTAGATAAAACTCTATGACTAAGCCACCAACCACAATAACTAGATGGACGATAAAAAACTAAGATGAGTAGATGAGTATCTAGAAGAAGTGGCATTAGACTGATATGATAAGAATTACAACCATTTCATCTGGTGATACAAGAAATACGATTGCGAGAAAAGTTTTGCGCTAGCATTCATGGAACACTTTGTAATGCATGAATAGCAATAGCACCAGTGGCAAAAAGAATTAGAAAACATTTGGCAGGAGAAGAACGAAAAAGTGATTGAGTACACTTATAGATTTGTGAGGCTACTTGATAAAGTGTATCCTAAGGGTAACTATTAGAAAAAATCAGTAGAATAGCTGCTTGCAACTGGATTAAGGAAGGACTTGTCATTCATACCTGCTGTTGCAAATGCAACCGACCCAGTGGAAGCAATCAGAGTGGCAATTAAAGCTAAGGCTTATGCTGAAAAGAAAGTAAGCAAGATAAAAGAATTAGAGAACCGTATGCAAAAGTTACAAAATCAAATGCAAAGAAAGAAGATTGCACCAGAATCAAAATCAACAAGAGAAGTGAGGCTATTGTAAGTATGAGAAAGATTATTATGTCAGTAACTACTGGAAGGGAACTGCTAAGAAGTATCTAATGAAGGCTTTGATCTTAAATAAATAAGACCAAGAAGGTACTAACTGACAAGATCAATAATAAGGAACCTAACAGAAACACTTGATGAAATGAAAGTTCGTGTAAGAAAGGAAAAACAGATAAAGATAAAGTATGGTTGATATTCTTTAATGATGACGAAAGAGAAGCATTACAAAAAGCAATTAGTAGTTCCGATTCTGATAATGAAGCATGACTGGAGACTCCGGAACCAGTCGCATAGTAATTTCAATCAAAAGAAATGCTGATGGTGACCAAAAGAAATGATGAGGTCAATAAAACTGAGAAGCAGGATGTGTATGAGTCAGAAGATCGATATGGGCCAATAAAATAAATAATTGCAACGGAGAAAAACATTGCGGTAATAAAAGAACCACTGACAACACACGAGAAGCAAGTGAAGAAAGAGAATGGATCAGGAGAACAAGGTGAAATGAAGATAACTGCAAAAAAACTAGATGTTGTACAAAGGGGAGAACTGCTGACATCACACAATGAAGATAAGAAAAGTATAGCAAAGAAAGAAATGACACTTACAATCATGTGGAAAATAAGAATGCTGGGAGATAAAACTCCTAAATTCTGTAGTATCTCTGAGTTGTAACAATAACTAATAGAAGTACTTACACAAGAATTTAGAAGAAAGTTCATGAAACCTACTCTGACGTTTTCGTAAAATTGGCACTTTGCAGGATGATAACAATTTACAGGATGGCTTGGACAAAGCATCCTGTAAAGAACTCCTGATTGAGTATAAGAATGCGATCACGAGTATCGTTCAAAAACCCGAGTGCGACATAGTGCAATATAATGATGATGTTCTGAGCAGTCACAAAATATAGCAAGAGGCTAAAAAAAAACTGCAAAACCAACTGGTTGAATACAAGTAGCATTATCAAAAAAACAAGATGCTACTTCAGTAAATCAACCTTCAAAAGCGTGTGATGAAGATCAAATCACAAAAAAGGAGATGAAAATTAATGATAACCTGGAGAAATAACAAATAGCAAGATGAGATCAGGACACTTACACAAGAATAATCCAAGATATAGGGAGCTCTGAGATAATGTGACAAATAGTTGATACCGAATATGACACCCTGATAGAACAAAAGCTGCAAAAGAACAGTCAGGATATGAGAGAAAAGATTGTAAAGAAAAAGATTATATCAATAATTACATGGGAAACGCATGCACTGGGCAATGAGACGTTCAGGCTGCGTAGCATCATGACATCAGAGCAGCAACTAATAAACACACTCGGTTGCAAGTTAAGAAGAAAGTGGATAAAAGTGTACTCCTAGGTCTTTGCAAATTAGCACATTGTATAATAATAATAATTTAAAAAATGGTTTGGGCAGAAAGTCCAGTAAAAAAACTCCTAATCAATGTGACTAGGAGTACTATCTTGAAACCTGAGCACGAGAAAATGATATAATACACTCTTAATCACAATAGTGGTATCTTGAATGATCAGAAAGAGCACATGACCGTATCAATCTTAAGAAAATCCATCAACAAAGTAGTAATGACAATAACTAATATAGAACATTTACTTGCACGGTATGATACCGCCAGATATAGCTACTTGCTTGTGATGTGCCAACAACAAATGAATCACATCCTGGTACAAGGCTGTAGAACCATGGATGACATGGAATCTAAATACGGCTATTATTGAAGCTGAGCTTAATAACATCACCATGACTAGAAGAGTGTGTGTCATGATTAATACAATTTATATTAAGCAAACAAAGGTGAATGTGGAGTAACCAAACCAGTCTGTGAGAAGGTCCTAAAGTACCTACTTGTCGCATAATTCAGAATGAAAAATTGAAGAAGATATCAACAAATCAGCCATGCCAAATCCAGTAAATACACATGCCAACGATGCTAGTATTAGACGAATCAAAGCAAATAAAAAATAAGTGAATCAACAGGTAGAAGTGTTGCAGGATCCCGACATCTTTCATCACACAACACAGCAATTCAGAGAGGCCAATCAAGCTACTACAAATGTCTGTGTGCACAAGTTAGCATTCAAGGAAACAATAGATAATGCCACCTACCATAAAGAATTTGATATCAGAAGACTAGCCGAGACAGAATACCAAGTTACCATCAATAACAACAATGAAAATGAAAAGCAAAAAACATGTCATGACAATAATAAGGACCTAGCAGAATTATTCAACATTAGTGATAAGGTACTGATGTACCATGCAGCACCAAAAGCCTTAAGAAGCAGTCAATATGCCAAAAGTGAAGTGACCCATATTACATGCAAGTTATACTTATCCGAGATACGTACAAGCCGTAGACTATTGGTAGACAAGTTCTGGCAAGCCCCATTAACCCGAAAATCTGGAACCAATATTTTGAACTGATAATATGAAATGATTATATGTGCAGAAACATATAAAATAAGCGTGGGAAAGTGTTAGCAGGGAAAAATGTATAGGTCACTGGGATTAACATTTGTTACATGATATGGTGTGATCCATTGGACTTAGCATCAAGAAGCCTAAATAGTCTAATTGGGGATTTGCAGGACACGACAGTAGATCAGCGTATGTATTGCGATGGATATAAATAGGAAAGGTTTAGCTAGTTAAAATAGGAAGTTAATATTTATGTTGTATAAACCTGTAATACTTGCAATTGTGCCATTATAATTAATAAACTTACCTTAATTGATTATTAGCCACTGTAGGAATCCTAGAAATCCATAAAGGATTGTGATAGAGGATTAGACCAGTAATAAAAGAGAAGAAAGTTTATTAACAAGTGTCTCTGGTTAGCAAGCAACACAAGCCCCTGCTTATCTATTGTTATGCGATGACCTAGTCCGAAGTAGCGACAGACTTGCCATGTACCGATAATAATATTATTAGTAGGGAAAATACTTAAGTAAAATCTGGTAATATGACCTTTATATAATATATTTATTTGAAGCATGTGTATTTCTTTAATAAATAGTTGGATAATATAATAAAAAGTCTAAATAATTAATTTTATAGTATGATAGTTTATGAGTTACTGTATTATAGTTTTATAGCATTAGTTAATAATAATAATAATAATAGAAATAGAAATAAGAAAGTGCAAGAATGAAAAGAAAAAAAAATCAAAAATCTCAATTAAAAAAAAATTTAATTAACATTTTTCTTTATTAAAAAGGAAGTGCAAAACAGTTGTGTGATACTGAAATATAAATTAAAAATTACTATATATGATAGTGATAAACATGCTTAAATAAAAAGTTATTAATTAACTTACCTTTCTAAAGTAATATCATCACAAGAAAATTATTCTGAAAGTTATTAAAGAGGATTGTGATTCGAGCTATCTAGAGAAAATAACAAGTGAAAGAAGAGAATTAATAATGGTTTTAAGGTTAGCTAAGTCAAATCCATGTCTCGAGTAAAGAAAAAAGAATAACTTATTTGATATTATATAAGTTTGACCTGTCACTAGTAACAGACTTGCTGATTTAACATTAACAATATGTTTTAATAATGCTAAGAATCTTTTTATACTATCTGATATTATTACCCAATTAAAAGTATTAATTGAAAGATTTTTTAAAAAATATGATATTGGATTATTTCAGTTTATAATATTGTTAACTCTTGGATTTAACTTGGGATTGGAGTAGGTGAAATAAATTGTTTTCTTGTATATTATCTTATTAATTTTTCAGATAATTAAAGAGAAATTGATTTTTTATATTTTTTTAAGATAGTTAAAGGTTTCTTATAATATTTTTTTGTTATTTGTTATTTCAATTTTATAGTAAGAGAGATATTGGTAAAAAAAATTGAAGAGAACTTGCAACAGATTGCTTGATGAAAGGTCAGGATTATTTAGTTTGATTTTAAAATTATTTATAAAAATATATTCTTAATAATATTGGATATAATATAATTAAAAGAAATCAATTTTCTGAAGTATTAAAATAGAAGAAGAGTTGAAGAAGATGCTTACTAATTAAAGAATGTATTTGTTTTGTTTTTTTTGTTAAGTGAGGCATTTCTCTTAATCTTTATTAATAGAGTAGTTAAGATATTACATAATTAATATTAAGATACTAAGGTACATCATTATATATGTCAGCCTATTACTGTTCTAGATATATTTCTAATAAAAAAACCTTAAGGCAAGGAAAAGAGAAAGTAACTACTTAGTTTTGGGGGGCTAATGTCTTCCTAATAATTTATTTTATCCTGTATGGTGTAAGAGAAAGAATAAAATAATGGGTAACGCAATTCGGGTCACATGAGCAACGATCGACCCAGGAATCGCGAGAAGAAATGTAGAACTGAAACCAGCAATAAAAATGATGTAATGAGCATTTTATTATATAATTAGTGTTAGAAACAAATAGAATTTCCTTACCTTTTGTCATATTTCTACAATTTTCTAATAATTTCTATTGAAAGTATATAAAAATGATAGCATTTAATAAAGGAAAAAGAGAGAATCACTATATAAAACAATAATTAAAATACTTACCTGGGCCAAATCTAACACCTTACCTCTTCGATCATCTTTATTAAGAGTGGACTGGTGGTTACGCGAATTTCATCATCATTTAGCGACAGACTCGCTATTCCGCCTTTCACAATGGGTATGGATAAGTTTTGTGAAAATAATCAAAGGATGATGTTAGTTACTTTATTATTTTAATTTGTGTTATTGGTTGTTGGATTGTTCAAAATTGTTTGTTGTTGTTATTGATATTAGTGTTTTTTGTTTTTTTGTGTGTTGTAAGGTCTGTTGTTATTGTTATTGTTGGTGTTGTTATTGTTATTGTTGGTGTTGTTATTATTATTGTTTTTTTTTATATTTGATGTTTTGTGATATATCAAGAAATTTTTTTTTGCAATTATTTCTTAGTTTCTGGGTATCTATATTTGTGTGTATAGTAGTTTAAGTGTTTTGTTTTGGATTTCATTGATGTTTTTGAGATTAGTTTGTATTGGTTTGAGATTTTTGAAGATTGTGTTTGGTTGGAAGGTGCCTGTTGCAAAGTTGACAGTGTCGATGTTAGTGTTTAGTAATTTTTGGATTTGTATTTTATTAAGATTTTTGTTGTTTTTAAATTTTTTTTACAATAGTATTTATACATCATTGGCTATTTTTTTAAGTATTGTTAGAATGTATTTATTTTTTTATAGTATGCTTGAGATCTCATTAATTATATTGTTTAGACAATATTTATTGGAATTTGAAAAACTGAAGAGAATCTATAAGAAGGATTCTTATGAACTTATAAAAATTAATATATATAAGCTGACACTTTGAGTCTTTATTAAGCAACCTTTACATTTTGTAAGAATGTTATTGTTATTTATATTGGAGTATTTAATATTTTTTATATATTTTAACAATAGTATTAATATTATGAATAAGCCAGAAAAATGCTTTGCAATTAAATATTAATTCTAAATTATTGAAGTTAATGAAATTTTTGAACCAGCTGAGTTATAATTTGCATCAAATGATTCCTATATGTACTATTGGTTGAAACAGAAGAATTTAATTATATTGTTAAATTTCAACAATTGAGTTGTAAATTAAATATTAAGAGTATTTGTAATATTAATTGTAATAGTTCTGGCATTTGATTGAAGGTTATATAGCAGAAGACCTATTGAGTTTTTTGTATTAGAATAAAAATTTGAACATTCAATTAGACAGATTTAGATTTTTAAGTTTTTGGCAATTTTGGCTATATAGAAAATTTAATTATCTTGATTGAATACTTCTGAATCATATATTGAACAAAACCAATTTACTTTTTTTCTTTTTATTAATTATATCTCATGTATTGTATTTTTTTGTAATTGGAATAAAGAGTTTAATTATTAGATTATCTATAGAAGAGAATCTTTGTCTTTCTTATAAAAGTGCAATATTAAAACCACCACGTTTAATTAGAATTGCATTTGAGCATTTAGAAGTTATTATATATGCTAATTTAATAAGTTGTTGATTTTTGCTTGCAAATAATGGAGGTAGATTTGTTAGGAAGGATTATTGTAAGAAAATATTCAAACTTCTCCATAATTACTATTTTATATATTTGTTATTTTATTTGATATTTATTCAGTTTTTAAAAAATTGTATCTACTGATTAACTAAAGACTTTTCTATTGGTTTTGAGAAATTTTTTAAAAAAACTAATCATTTCTAGATATTTGATATTTTGATATGGCTTTAAAACTTATATTAAATAACTACTAAATTTTATGATATTGAAAATTCACTGTTTGGTTTTGATATACTTATAATTTGTATTTTGTCTTTGTTACAAGTAATATTATTAATTGAAAAAAATTAATTGATAATGGCTAGAAGATTTTCTATCTTTGATTTGGAATTTATAATGAGTACAAGGTTATTTATATAAGTTAATGTATTGGAGGTGATATAGTTTCAGATAGGTTGTTATTTGGATAGCTATGTGATTAAAGAGTCATAGAATATTAATTATAGTATAAAGATAATGTTTTAACTTGTTTGATACTATTGTTAACTATAAAGAGACTGGCTGTTCCAAAAGGTGTATTGATAGAAATTTTTCTGTTACTGAGCAGATTAATAAACAAATTAATAATAAAGCTTGAATATTTAATTCTTTTAAATGATTTTTTGATTGCAAAAATAAGTACTAAGTCAAAAGCTTTTGCTATATTTAATAAGACAAATCAAAATATTTTATTATTTTTATTAGCAATTTGTAAAATAAAGTTTACTATTGATAATGAATTTATAGTGTTAGCAGGAAAAAATATATAAGTCATTAGAATCACCGATAGTCACATGACATGGTGCAATCCATCAGGCCCTGCATCAAGAAGCCTAAATAGTTTAATTGAAGATTTGCAGAATGCGACAGTAGATCAGCGTATGTATTACGATGAGTATAAATAGAGAGAGTTTAGCTAGTTAAAATAGAGAGTGAATATTTATATTGTATAAACTTGTAATACTTGCAATTGCACCAATACAATTAATAAACTTGCCTTAATTAGATATTAGCCATTATAGGAATCCTAAAAGCTCATAAAGGATTGTGGTAAAGGATCAAACCGGTAATAAAAGAGAAGGGAGTTTATTAAC